CGCTCTTCCGATCTCCCCAAAACCCCAAAACCCCGTCATTATCAATTAGCTCATTAAGTGAAAATGAATATCATAAATACAATCATATTTTTATTAGTATCAGACGAACTTCGATCACCATTCATGTGCTGCCTCTGTAGAGGAAGAAATAGCACCAGTCATCAGCCATAATAAAGATGAACAGGATGAATATGATTATAGCTTGCAGAATTTGTATGATCATCAGGGCTACAAGCTTTTGACTCTTGTATATCAGTGGGTGGAAAATGTTGATGAACATGTAGATGTAAAGCAAGATAATCGGAAACACTCTTGGCACAACGGTCTGCACAAGCATCGCGCATATGAAGAAGAAGATTTAGCTGTAGGCTACATCATTCACATACCTCTTCAGAGGTATAGCAACCTATGGACAAAGTTAAGTATGCAATTGGGAGTAATTTGAAAAATAAAGTATGAATCAATGCAGAATAATGTGGCAAATTAATTGTCCACATTTCCACATGACAAAATTTAAATGATTTTGCATAGCCAGAAATACTTACAGCTGTCCCTCTTTTAACCTCAGCAACGATGGCGCAAGCAGTGTAAGTGATAAACATTAGGAACATAGCTGCCTCGATAGCTTTTTTATTGTGAACTAAGGTCTTTCCGTCATCGGAGTCCCAGACGCATTCCTTATAAACCATTATTCTCAACTAATATTTTAATTATAATTTGCCAATTAAAACCAATATAACCTAGGGAGGTAGCTTTAATTCTAGTTAAAATATATAAGATTAAAAGGAGTGAGTATAGTTTAAGATTATAGGAATACTACTATTAATCAATATTGTATATACTTGCTGCAACAATGCCAAAGCATCAGTATTTAAATTCAAACTTGCATATCTACTCAACCAAGATTCACACTCTGTCTGATGACCTTTTCATTTATATGTTGTCCTGTATTTGTTAGTTCGGTAACTGCTCCTGTTATCATCTTCAAAAACTGGTCTTCCCAGATGTTGTTTAACTCATCTACCTTTTAGTCTCTGTTTACGCAGTATTGTGTCAGGTTAGTTATGAAGTTCTAGGACGCCTCTTGATTCTTCTTGGCTAACATTCTTGTTGATTTAGCCGCTGCATGTCTATCCTCTTTGCTTTCTTCTTGACTTGGTTTATCTTGCACAACTTTCTAATAACAAATTTAAAAAAGATTATCTTACTGGAGAGAATATGTTGGGAGTTGAAAGTATTTTGTCAAAATGCTAGAATTACTGCCTTGCCTTGAGTCTGTCACTATCTGTAACACTGATTCCATTTATTTCGGTGACATTGGGGAATCTGTAGACTATAAATGTCCTAACTAGCACTGTATTAGAGACCTCGTTGTTTTCAATGGTCAAGCATGTAAGGGAGGTCAACACTTCGAGCTTTGAGATTTGAATGAAACTGTGAATGTTGTTGTCGCTGAAGATGAGTTTCTTGAGTTTCATAAACTTCTTTAGCTTGCTTAGGTTAGAGTGGCTTACAATGTTGTCGAATCTAACATATTGGAAGCTAATTTATTCAACTGTTTTTTAGAACTCACTGTTATTCAAGACTTCAAGTGCATTTCCATAGATAAAAAGCATGGTATCTCCTTCGATCTCTGCGTGCCCAGACTAGACTAAGCACTCGTTTCTAGATTCCTTGCGGCGCTTATAACCATTTAGCCCTAGTTGCTTTATTCTATCCATCTCATTTTTCCACTCTTAGGAGATCACTTCTAACAATCCCTCTGGTGAAATGTCTTCATTAGCGTTTCCTCCACTGCCTTAGAGCTGTTTATCAGGAGAAATATCTGTACTTATATTGCCATTAGTGTTTTTATCACCACTGTCATCTACATTTTTACCATGGCTCAGCATTATCTTATCTTTGATAGGCATAGTGTTAGTATCTCTCATGTCTTAGGTTATCTTTCTAAGGTCTAAATGCTTTAGATTAGGGCAAGTAGTCAAACAGAATTCGAAATAACCTTTATGATGGAAGATTGGATTACCGTCAAGTGCGAGCTCTTATAATTAAGAAGCATCTTTTAGACTTCCAATATTCTCAAATTTATCGATTCTATTATTGGACAAGAAAATTCTTTGCAATCTTGGGCAGTGTTAAAGTCCATTGACAGATTCAATTAAATTTCTTCTTAAATTAAGCTCTGTTAGCGAAATTAGTCCATTCAGATTTTCAACTGCTGTAATCAAATTATTTGCTAGATTAAGCACTCTAAGTTCTGAGAGATGATTAATATTCTCAATTTTTGTAATCTTATTAGAGTGCAGATCAAGCACATCAAGTTTATTCAAATTCTATAGATTTCTAATTCTCTCGATATAGTTCTTGCCAAGCATGAGTACTCTTAGAGTGGGAATAGTATGCAAATGTGAGATTTCCTTGATTTGATTATTGTACAAATCTAAGAATATCAAGTTAGGCAGTGACACTAAGTTTTCAATCTTAGTAATGTGATTATGCTAGAGATTCAACAATCTAAGTCTTTCCTCTCCTTCAAGTAAGGGCATGTGAGTCAGATCTCTCTTGTCAAGATTCAGTCGCTCTGGGTTTGCATTTCTCTCAGAAGGCTTTCTATAGACAACTAGGACTCCTGGTATTTAAGGAAGTTCAGCAAAAATAATCTTGTCATCATCTTCTACTCTGCGGACTATTCCGTTTTTGAGCAAGTATCTGTATCTCTCATCCTCCTCATTCTAAGATAATTCTATTGGAAGATAATTACTTGAGATATCTTACTCTAGACATCTATTTTAGTGGCTACTTGATTGTTGTTCGAAACCAAATTGGGATTACTTCCATACACTCCTGTGTCAAGAATGCCCTGCCCACCTGCTCTGTTTGATATTCCCTTTTGAGCAGCTAAAATTACAACAGTTAGTCTATTTGAAATGGACTTACCAGCATTTCCTTAAACGTTGAAATTAAAGCCCTTGCCAAGCTAGTCAGCTTAGCCTTTGTTGACGCCTGCTCCAATTCCAGCGATTCCTACTCCTTGAGCATTACCTATGACATTTGGCTGTCCTACTGTTGATCTAGTTGCACTAGGAGGTCTTTGATTGCTTATAAAATTATTTGCAACTATAGAAACGGTTTAAGGATGTAAAATAGTACCAGCAATTTATTTCTATGGAACCTTTTTGTTTGGCTGCATCATTTTCTGCAAGACTTTTTTCAAGAATGAATATATTTAAAATTTAATTAAAAATGCCTCTCATAAAATTTAATCTGTTCGCCCCCTCTTTACCTATTTTTATCTCATGGGGTTTTGGGGTTTTGGGGTTTTGGGG